AAGCGTGTGACGGAAATGTTATGCCCCTTACCATACTGTGATGCCTTGTCCCGGCCGGAGCGACAAGACAAAACATTAAAACCCATTATAAACGAGGCATTTGTTGCATCCAGTGGGGACATAATTACCGATTATAATGACTTATACTGTGTTTTTACGCGTTGCGTTTCATATCGCGCTGCGTAAACATAAAACCATGTCTGCATTCATGATCGGAGAAATGACAAACAACAAGCACTACTCTACACTGCTCAAAACTCAGGTTTGAATCATCAGTGGCAAATTCTTTAAATATGAAAACTTACTTACAGGCTGTGAGTCAAAAACTTGAAATCGCATCATATGACCCCTTTAAATTCTTTCTCTGCAGATAATCAGCGTAAACATTTTAACTTTTCAGGTTATTATGCTATTAGGTCAATGTTAATAGCAGCAGCTAATAAGATAAAGGTTATCATGAAGCGATAACTGTGAGCGTGGATCTTGAGAATTTAGCAGAAGTTGTGACGTCTCAACCCACATCAGCGATTAATTTCCCTTTTCTCTCTCTAATTTTAAGAACTGCCTTCAGAAATGGAATATATTTTATTAAATCACCATCAATGAACAATGTAACTGGAACAGAAAAAGATGCAGCAAAGTGGTTAGCCCGTGTATGTTTCAGATTTTAGATCTAAATATTTTATTATAAATATTATTGACAAAACACATGATAAAAACTGATCATTACAATCATATAATGATGACAGTAATAAAAATAGTTTTTTACTTGAAAAACATTATTTATATATTTAAAAAACAAAATAACTAAAAAACTCATTTTTACACTTTGGATCAGACCATTCTGTTATATTTAAATACGTCAAGTGCGGCAGCCAATCAGCGTGGAGTGGGGGCGTAACCAGCAAGGAAAACCCAAATGACGGAAACGTTTTATACCTGGCAGGCAGTGCAGTTTCAACCTTACGGTACCATGCATTTTATGTATATATTCTCTGTTTAAGGCATTGAGTGACCCTATGGATGTGATTTGGAACAAACTGAAGATTGCATACTACTTATTTTCGTAAAAGCAGGATAAAAAAATGAGCAACATCCTCCATGCAGCATCAAAAGTGAGGTGGAATCATAGCACTGCGGCGAAAAGAGCGGTGTTCCTGGCGGCAGTCGCATACGGGGCGAAAACGCTTTACCCCATCATCTGCAAACAAATAAATCAACGGAAAACAACGAAGAACAGCACGTCTGCACCGGGACACAAGAATGGATTGATATCTCCTCATAAAGCTACACCAGAGACTGCCTCTAGCCTTAATAAATCACCCGGTGTCAATGCGGAATTCTTCAAGCAGATTCTTGATCTGGTTAAAATCGTGTTCCCGAGGTTTGTAACCAAAGAACTGGGTTTACTATGTTTGCATTCAGTAGCTCTAGTTTCACGGACGTTTCTGTCTATTTATGTGGCAGGTTTGGATGGTAAAATAGTGAAAACGATCGTAGAGAAGCAGCCGCGGAGCTTCATGATCAAACTGATGAAATGGCTTCTGATCGCCATCCCGGCCACATTCGTCAACAGCGCGATCCGCTATCTGGAGTGCAAGCTCGCGCTCGCGTTCCGCACGCGTTTGGTAGATCATGCATATAAAACCTATTTCACCGATCAGACTTATTATAAGGTCAGCAACATGGACGGGAGGCTGGCGAACCCGGACCAGTCTCTAACCGAGGATGTGATGATGTTCTCGCAGTCCATTGCGCATCTGTACTCAAACCTCACCAAACCCATCCTGGACGTGATACTGACTTCATATACCTTAATACAGACTGCGAGATCTCGGGGTGCGAACGCAACCGGACCCACTCTCTTAGCGGGTCTGGTGGTGTTCGCCACGGCGAAGGTCCTGCGCGCTTGCTCGCCGAGGTTCGGTAAGCTGGTGGCGGAGGAGGCGCACAGGAAGGGCTACTTGCGTTATGTGCACTCCAGAATCATAGCCAATGCAGAGGAGATCGCCTTCTATAGGGGACATACGGTGAGCAAATGCATAATTCACACAGGCAGATATAACAATCAATATAACATTAATAAATGCTCTGTATGGTGGGGCATAAGGCGAGGAAATAAATGCATCACTCATATGTAGTGTAAACGTAATTGCTTATTAAATTACAGAGGACTTTTATAATGGGCATAAGGTGTCACTGTACACGTGCATAGATACATACATAGGCCCACATTTAAAAATGTTAGAAATGTTCCATAACTAGCCATTTACTTTTTGAAGTCTCTCAATGGTTGGTATATTTAAATTGTTCTCATGTGGCAGGTGGAGATGAGGCAGCTGCAGAAGTGTTATAGTGCTCTAGCGGAGCAGATGAACCTCATTCTGTCAAAACGTCTGTGGTACATCATGATTGAACAGTTCCTCATGAAGTACGTGTGGAGTGGAAGTGGTCTGGTTATGGTGGCAGTGCCCATTATCACTGCCACTGGCTTTGCTGACAACGGTACGGTGGAAGTGTAGTTTGTTTCATTAACTATATATACAATCTCATTGCAATTTCTGTGTTGAGGCTAATTTTTAATGACGTTGCAGTGCTTCAATTTCAGAAATATAGGTCATGTAAGAATAGTACTTGTTTAAAGATGTCATGTTTCATATTCATTTGTTTCTTAAAGAGCTGGCTGATGGTCAGACGCAAGTGTTGGTGAGTGAAAGAACAGAGGCCTTTACAACAGCTCGCAATCTGCTGGCCTCAGGGGCGGATGCCATTGAAAGGATCATGTCTTCTTATAAAGAGGTAAAATATTAAACATGCTTTGTTGACATTTTCCACAATTATTTCCTTTTTACATAAAAGGAAATAAATGCTGTTTTGAAGGGGTCATATGATGCGATTTCAAGTTTTCCTTTCTCTTTGGAGTGTTACAAGCTCTTGGTGCATAAAGAAGATCTGTAAAGTTGCAAACACTAAAGTCTCAAAACCAAAGAGATATTCTTTATAAAAGTTAAGAGTTAACCACGCCTACCTAAAACGGCTCGTTCTAACACGCCCCCACATGTCTACGTCACGATGTGGGAAGATTTGCATAACGCCGCCCAAACGTTCACGCAAAGAAAGAAGGCGTAACTTTTATTCTCACTGTAGTATTGTTGACGCTGCAGCCATGTCCTGAAGACGCTGTGTGCTTCGTTGTGAAAGATGTGTTTTAAACCGCATAAACATTTCATTACACCAAATACACAAAATAATGTTCTTTTTAGCAGCATCATATGACCCCTTTAAGACGTATATAAACTGTATGTATTTTGAAAGAAGACTCTTATGCTCCCCAAGGTTGTTCTTATTTGATCAAAAATACAGTAAAAACTGTAATGTTGTGAAATTTAAAATTTAATTTAAAAGAACAGTTTCAAAAGGTGAATTTTCAGCAGCATTAACAGTGTTGGGCGTAATGTATTACTAAGTAATTCATTACTGTAATTTGATTATTTTAACCTTTGAAAAAGTAAAGTAAGGGATTCATTTACATTTTTCTGTAATTGAATTACAGTTAATTCTAATGTAATTGCATTAAATACTGTATAGACTGTAGAACAATTCTATATAAAACAATAGCGGATTTAACATCAAACATCTAAAACATTGAACATCTAATGTTAAAATGTAATTTCCATAATAATTTATGCAATTTTATATGATTTATTTGAAAGAATTAAAAGAGCAGTTTCATGTCTATTCTTGTATGGTTCAACTGGTCGAGGTTAATAATAAGTTAGTAATAAGTAATGCGATACTTTTTAGAGAGCGAGTGATTAGTATAGTAATCTAATTACACAGTTAAAGGTACAATATGTAATATTTTTGTAATAAAATATCCAAAAACCACTTGCACAGTGTTATATATTTCATGCAGTTGTGTACTTAACGTTATCTCAAAAGTTCCCAAGGATTTGTAAATCCAGAGAAATTCCAGTTTTAAATAATGACTCGTCGCCTATCAATGACGCAATATCCGCGCTATCCTTGGTTTCCGCTTATGAATACTACGGCAACACACGTGG